GCCCAGTGGTGAGAATCTTTGTTTCCTTGATATTGAGTTCAACGCATATTGAAGGCTGCAGTCCTTGACTTTCTGCAACAAGTGCTTCAGGTCCTCCTCAGTTTCAGAAAGCAGGGTTGTGTCATCTGCATAACGCAGATTGTTGATGAGTCTTCCTCCAATCCTGATGTGTCCTCTTAGAGCCCAACCTCCCAGAAAAATCTGTTCCACATACAGATTGAAAAGATATGGAGACAGAATACATCCTTGATGCACACCCTCCCCAATTTTGAACAATGCAGTGTTTTCTTGCTTTGTTCTGACGACTGCCTCCTGGTCCAAGTATAGGTTTCACATAAGCACAATCAAATGTTCTGGGATTCCCATTCTTCTCAGAGTCAGCCACAGTTTGTTGTGATCCACATAGCCAAAAGCCTTTTCATAATTAATGAAACACAGATAGACATTCCTCTGGTACTATCTGCTTTCAGGCAAGATCCATCTGACATTAGCTATAATATCTCTATTCTAAACCTAGCCTGCACTTCAGGCAGTTCTTTGTTGATGTGCTGTTCCAGCTGTTTTTGGATAATCTTCAGCAGAATCTTGCTTGCATATGATATCAATGATACTGTTCAATAATTGCAATTTATTGAGAACCAACTCATAGCTGATCCTCCATAAGATTTTCAGAGTCTTTAAACTGTCGGCGAGGAGAAACCATGAGTATATTCACTCACAATGGACTATTGTCACTATTATGTTCCCTTGATTCAGAACTGACTCATACTGACCCTCCAGTGAGTTTTTAGAGGCTGTAAATTACAAGGGAGTAGGTTGCTTATCTTTCTCCTTTGAAGCAGTTGGTGAATTCAAACCACATGCTTTCAGATTGACAGCACAGCACCTTAGCACCTGGCCACCAGAGCTGCACATAAATGGAACATATATACACAAAACACATGCACACATGACGGCTCTCTAGTGGTTTAAATCCAGTAGAGACTTCTTAGCAGAAAGATGGGCAGCCTCCTCTGTTGTGATTTACAACTTTGGAAACCCTAGTGGACTTGAAGACAATGTGTATATACTGACTGCTCATCCCTTCAAGTCTTCCCTAACTCATTACTGATGCCACATGGATTTTGGCTTTTGAAAAAGAAAGATACTAGAAAAAATGTTTCCTTGCACTTTATTGTCTATGCAAAAGCATTTGTGTGAATCATAATAACTTATGGCTAACATTAAAAAGAATGGAAATTCCAGAATAATTATGTTCTAGATTAGAAGCCATTTGATAGAACACATAAGGGAATATTGCATTGTATAAAATTGGGAAATATATGCATCAAGAATTCATTTATCTATGCCTACTTGATCTGTATGTTGAGAAAATAATTTGAGAAGCTGGACTCTATGAAGAAGAATGTGACATCAGAATTGGAGCAAGACTCATCAACAACCTATGTTATGCCAATTGTTTGTTTCCAGAAAGTGAAGAAGGATTGAACCACTTACTTACTGAAGACTATCAAAGACTTCAAGAGATTACATCTCAACATCTAGAAAACAAATACCCTCACCACTGGATTATAATAGATGGGGTTAAGAGATTATAAAAACTGGTAAACACTCAGGACTGACTTCATGAATATGCAACTTGTGTGGTCACATAGAGTTCTATGCTCAGAAAAGTGTTGTCTTTGTTTAATGTTATGCTGTCATTAGCTTGAAATTCTTAGTACTTTTAAGAAAAGGTTTGTATTTTTATTTTGTACTGAAACAAGCCATTAACACAGCTCTCTTCAGTTGGTTTTTACAAACAGCAATACTAATACTACTCCATCAGGTTCCCAAAACTAATCTGTACATAAGTGAACACTTGCATTTAGGTTAGCAGTCTAGCAACCAGCGGTTTGCAGTGTGGAGTCACCTGTGACCCATAGCAACCCTATGGCTCTGAACGCTGTCCTAGGTGAGTAAGCCAACCTCACCCACATCAATCTATCTCATGCAGGGTCTTCTTCTTGTGCTGACCCTCTACTCTTCCAAGCATGATGTCCGTTGCCGAGGACTGGTTTCTACTGGTAACATGCCAAAAGTATGTGAGATGAAGCACCAAAATCCTTACTTCTAATGAGCAAATGAATTTCACCTTCTCCAAGAAAAGACCTATTTGTTCTCCTGGTACAGTCCATAGAATGTTCAATACTCTTTCAGTACCAGAACTCAAAGGCATCAGTTCTTCTTCTGTCATCCTTGTTCATTGTCCAGCTTTCTGATGCTTAGCAAGCATACTGATAATTAACTATAATTTTCTAGGTTGGAATTATATTTTTTCTCTATATCTATTCAATTTGTACACTGAGCAAATAATTTAAAAAGATGGACTTTATGAAGAAGAATGTGGCATCAGGATGAGAAGAAGACTTCAAAAACCTGTGTTCTACAGATGACACAGCCTTGCTTGCTGAAAGCAAGCAGGACTTGAAGCAGTTGGTGTAGAAGATCAGAAACCTCAGCCTTCAATGTGGATTGCATCTCAACAACAGGAAAACAAAAATCTTCACCACTGGGCTGAGAGGAAACATCATATATGTGGAGAAAATATTAAAATTGTCACTGAATTCATCTTAGTTGGATCCACAATCAGCACTCTTTGTAACCAGAGTTAAGAAATCAAGAGTTCTAGTGCATTGGGAAAGTCTGCTGTCAAAGACCTTTCCAAAGTAATAAGGAGCAATGATGTCAGTTTAAAGACTAAGGTGCACCTACATGGCCTTTTCAATCACTTGCTACGCATCTGAGAGTTGGGAAATGAATAAGGATGACCATAAACTTTGGATATATGTTAGGTCACTTAACCCTTATGACATTCTTGTGAGGTTTTTGTGGGGTTTTTTTCCTCCACTTAACATATAATGAAATTGGTTCTCCAAAATAAGTAAGTAACTTAATCAAGGGAGTTCTAATAATGTAGTGAGTAAGACAGCATGCTGTTAAACTGAAGTCAAATAGTTCTAATCCATCAGCAGATCCATGTGAGAAAGATGGGCAGTCTCATCCTGTGTGAAAACCCACCACAGTGTCAGCTATAAGTCAGTTCTGACTCAGCAACAACAACAGCTTAACCAAGGCTATACAGTTAGTAAAGGAGATCTGGTGGCCTAGTGGTGAGAAGCTGTGCTGCAATCCCTAAGCCTCATGGTTTGAATCCAACAGCTGCTCTGCAAGAAAAATATGGGGCAATCTTCTTCCATGCAATTAACTGCCTCTGAACACCTGCCAGAGGGTCAGTTAGAGGTCAGTTCTGACTTGACGGTGCACAACATAGATTAGGACCTCTGGCATAGTGTGTTTCTTGTGTGTTACTTGTTGCCCTGAAGTATTAACAATTAGATATGCCATTCGCTCCATGGGAGAAGCGTGGATGAATTTATTTTCATTAAGAGTTATTGCCTCAGAAACAATGCAGAATAGCTGTAAATCATAATTTATTCTATTTCAGTGAGTGTCCTATTCTAGGGTGGTTGTTTTTGTTGTGTACCATAGAGTCAGAACTGACCCATACCTGACCCTCTGGTGGGTGTTCAGAGGCAGTTAGTCACACAGGAGGATACTGCCCATTCTTCTACCATGGAGCAACTGAGGGATTAAAACTGCTTGCCTTTGGGAGTGCAGCAAAGCTTCTTGCCACTAGGCCACCAGAGGTCCCATTAGTGTAATCATCTAAATATCTTTTCATGGTTTTTATAGTACAATCTCTTTGAATACTCTTATTAAGAGAAAAATAATTACAATTTTAGTGCTGCTCATTTCCATATCCAGAGTAATTTAAACTTTCCTTCCTAAAGTTTTTCTATATGTTTTTACAATAAGTTGGGAAAGTCTGAGACCTCTCCAAAGTGCTGAAGAGCAATGATATCAATCTGGAGACTAAGGTGCACCTGATGCAGGACATGGTCTTTGCAATCACTTGCTATGTGTCAGAGAGCTAGACAATGACTAGAGATGACAGAAGGAGAATGGATGCCATTGAGCTGTAGGGTTGGAGAAGAGTATTGAATATACCATGAACTGCTAAGAGAACAGACAGGGTCATCCTGGAAAGGGTTGAAACCAGGCCGCTCCTCGGAGGCAAGGATTCTGAAGCTTTGTCTGACATACTTTGGACATGTTGCCGGGAGGGACCAGTCCTTGGAGAGGGATATTATGCTTGGAGAGTGGAGAGTGGATATCTCAGGAGAGGAAGACCCTCTATGAGGTGGATTGATTCAGTGACTAGGGTAATCGAGGTAAGTGTGTCAGAGACAGTGAGATTGGCACGGGGTAGAGCAGGGTTTAGGGCTGTTGTACATAAGATCGCTATGAGTCTCAGGCGACTCAAAGACACATAACAACAACAACAACAACAACATCACTTTCTTATACAGAAGAAACAACATTCCTAAAAACAAAAAACAATGCATATTATTAAACCAAAAGGAAATATCTTCTCTTTCTGAAGAGATCCTAATAGCATACTTAGTAAGCCCATGATTAGTAACCTAAAGGTTGGCAGGTAGAATTTACCAGCGCTCCTTAGGAGAAAGGTGTGGCAGTCTGCCGCTGTAAAGATTTAGAACACCAGACCCGCTATGAGGCATTCTGCTCTGTCCTGAGGGCTGTTGTGAGTAGGAACCAACTCCCCAGCACTAAGTTTGGCACCTTTTGGGTTGTTTTTAATGCTCTCTCTGTGTGTACGTGTGTGCTCTGCATTGACTCGTGCCACAGGAAAAAGCAAAATAAAATAGATCTCAAGAAACAATAATTAATATTAAAAAGTGAAGGGAGGTGAAGGACAGGCATGTGGAGGGCATGGGGTGGAGTGGTAGAGGTGTTGGGGTTTTTGTTTTTTTTTTAAAAAGAGGAATTGTGAATATCTGAATGTATCTGTTTCCAAGTTGAGCAATCAATTGAGAGTGTGTTTCCATCTGCTTGCAGGACAGCAAGAGTCACTTGCTGATTGGCTTATTAATGTAATGGCACGTACAAACAAAACCTATGAAATAGTCGAAAAATGCAAAAAAAATAAACAGCTTCTGGAGGAGATAAATGAAAAGCGAGAATCCAACTGCTTGGTGGAAAGAAGCAATCAAGTCAGCTTACTGAGACCTCAAAAGAGGCATTTCAGCGGTGGCTGTAAAATGTCTGGTCATGCCAGTGCCAAAGGATCTGTTCCGGACAGCGGCAGGAGTTCTTGGGTCAAACCGAATCTCCTTGCTCATGCGGAAAAAAAGCACTTTCCACCAAAAAGTAAGACGTTATGGTAGGAATTCTACCCAGTTGGTAGAGACGTTTATAGTAAACTTGGGGAGAATTTCTGGGGTGGCAGGGAGCTCATAGTCAAAGACAAGATGTCTGAAATAGTAAGTGCTAGTGAACTGCGTGGGTTAGTCCATGTAAGAGCTACTTTAGATCATACATTATCATTTCCTTGTCCAGAGAGAATCCCAGGCCCACCTCCAGGCCAACTAGTACAACAGGCTCTGGTTTGGGCTCTGGAGTCGGCACTCTTAGCACTGTGGAATGATTCTGGTGCTGATGGCCTGAGAACTGTATTTTTAGAAGGATTGCATAGATAATTACAGAAGACCCTAAAACTCTAGAGACCTTCTTTCTTGCTAGTTTTTGCTGCCTTGCAAAAATTTCATGCACAAAGGAAATGATTCCATTGAGAAATAAAGAATGAGAAATAATAATCCAATGTAAAGGGAAAGGAAACAGTGAGTTTATGTTAAAAAAGGAATAATTGAGAAAAGACTAAGAATATTTACACAATTAGGGGATGCAATCCTTGTCAACCAATTGAATTTGAATGATCTAGGAAACTGCAAAAGAAGCGATTCGGTACACAGAATGACAATACCAAAAGAATTGGCCAACAATGAAATATTTCAGAAAGTACTAAATGATTAAAAGTAAATAGTAATGAAAGAAGAAGTTCAAGCTGCATAAGGTCATTGGCAAAAAATAAGGCTCTAAGAGTTGACGGAACACCATTTGTCATGTTTCAAATCACAGATGCAGTCTTGGATGTGCTCAGCAGTGTATGCCAGGAAATTTGGAGGACAGCTGTCTGGTCTACTAAATGGAAGAGATCCATATTGATTCCCATTTCCACGAGAGATAATCTAATAGAATGTGGAATTACCGAACAATATTGTTAATATCACATGCAAGGAAAATACTGCTGAAGATCATTCTAAAATTGCTAAACCAGTACATAAAGAACTGTCAAGCTTTCAAGCTGGATTTAGAAGAGTCTACCACTGGGCCAACTGGCAACATCCTGATAGACAGAGAAGAGATTGATATTGTGAACAGCTTTAGCTTGTTTGGCTCCACAATCAAAACTCTTAGAGCCAGCATCCAGGAAATAAAAAATTAATTGCATTGGGAAAATCTGCTATCAGGGATGTCTCTAGAGTACTGAAGAGCAATGATGTCAGTCTAAAGACTAAGGTGTGCCTGATTCAACTGATGGTTTTCAGTATTACTTGCTATGCATTAGAGAGCTGGACAATGAATAAGGACTACAGAAGAAGAATCTATACCTTTGAGTTGTGGAGCTGGAAAAAATTATGGAGAATACCACGAACTGCTAAGAGAACAAACAAGTCTGTCCTACAGAGGGTAAAGACAGGTTGCTCTTTGGAGGCAAGGATTTTGAAGCTCCATTTCACATTCAGGCATGTTGCCAGGACAGACCAATCCTTGGAGAAGGACATCATGCTTGGTAGGGTGGAGGGACTGTGAAGGAGACGGAGATGCTCAAATAGGTGGATTGACACAGTGACTGTAGCAATGGACTGGAGTGTGTCAGAGATTGTGAAGATGGCTCAGGATAGGCCATGGTTCAGATCTGTTGTTCATAGGGTGTCCAGACATTCTGGTTGTCACCTAACAACAACAACATTATGTGATCAAACTGATAACAACAGAAGAGTAGATAAGAACCTTAGATGTCAGTGAGTTTATGTTAATGAGGAAGGAACAACCTAGAAAAAGAAATTGAGATGTTTGCACAACATGCAGAATATAATCAGTGTCACTAAATTGAATATGTAGAAACTATTGGCATTTTTGTTTCTTTTTTTATGTTTAACTTTTTTTTCCAAATAATTTTTCTTCATAATACATATTGCAAAGGGCTCAGTAATCAAATTGATGAAATCAATGGGAAAAAATTCAGGTAAATTTATAAAATATATTTATTCTAAGTATAGTTTTCAAAATATTACCAGATCAAATGCCAATTTAAATTTTAGCTGTCCTTTTTTGCTTGTCTCTTTAATAAACATAGCTTCTTTAAGTCGCTTTTTTCCTTTAAAGTTTATAAAGAACTTGGATTTCCATTCATTCATTGTTGCACATTTTCCTCCCTGTTCCCCTCCCCCTCAGTTTGCTTTGTTCTTGGTGGGGGGGGAGTTCTTTGGTTCTTATACAGTCCCCTGCCCTCCAACGACTTTATTATGCCACTGTAATAGAACAAGACTGAAATAGGGGTTGGGAGAAATTAAGAAAAGAGTAGATAAATAATGTACAAGGCACTGAAACAGACAAGGGAGAGAACTGTATAAAAGGAACATATGATGAGGTATTATTGGCATGATAAGAGTCCAGAATAAGACATTTTTGTTTCCAGGCGCCCGGGGGCTGGGTCGGAAGAACCGGGAGGAGGGGGCGTGGGGATCTCCGGAGGGACGAGTGGGCAGGGATCGGTATCGGTATCGAGCTCTGGTTGAAAATGGAAGGGAAGGCTCTTGAGAGACAGGAAATAAGGGATCCAGAAAGGTTGGGTGAGATCGCCTAGGTCTAGAATGGAAAAACTGCTGTATCTTTCCCTGTCTGTCTGTAAAGCATCTAGACTTGAAGTGTTTGCAGCAGCTTCTTGATTACTGTGAATTATTTAGAGGTATATGAGTGACCTAAAGCTGCAGACTAAAACGGAGAGAGAGCAGTGCCAAATGGGAGCAAGGCAAAGATGCCAATCCCTCCTCCCCGCCCACTCCCACCTGGCCCTCCTCCACCTCCCGCTTTTAATCAGGCAAACACAGTGCAGGCCAAGCGGAGTAGAGAGGAGCAGCGTGGTCGAGGTGCCCTCTTACAGGATATCTGCAAAGGGACCAAGCTGAAGAAGGTGCCCAACATTAATGATCGGAGTGCTCCCATCCTTGAGAAGCCCAAAGGAAGCAGCAGTGGTGGTTATGGCTCTGGAGCAGCAGCCCTGCAGCCCAAGGGAGGGCTCTTCCAAGGAGGAGTGCCGAAGCTCAGACCTGTGGGAGCCAAGGATGCTCCAGAAAACTCAACTGGTAAGCCAGCTCTACAAGTTCCCAGTTCTCGAGCTGCTGCCCCAAGGCCTCCAGGGTCTACATCCAGTGGCCGCCCTCAACATGATACAGACAGCAACCGAGCCTCCCTCCCAGACCTGCCTCGGACACAGAGACTCTCTTTACTGGACCTCTCTAGGCCCAATAGCACCAGGAGTACCGGCATGAAGCACAGCTCCTCTGCCCCTCCTCCGCCACCCCCAGGGCGACGTGCTAACGCACCCCCTACACCTCTGCCTTTGCATAGCAACACCCCCACCCCCACCCCCGCCTACAACAGAGCGAAACCTTTGCCACCTGGACAAAGGCTTTACCCTGGTCGAGAGGGACCTCCTGCTCCACCCCCAGTAAAACCACCTCCTTCTCCTGTGAATATCAGAACAGGACCAAATGGCCAGTCTCTGGCTCCTCCGCCACCGCCTTACCGCCAGCCTCCTGGGGTCCCCAATGGGCCTTCCAGCCCCACTAATGAGTCAGCCCCAGAACTGCCACAGAGGCACAAGTCTTTGCATAGGAAGACTCCAGGGCCTGTCAGCGGCCTAGCGCCAGCTCCACCCACCTCAGCCTCTCCCTCTCTACAAAGTAACCGGCCACCTCCCCCAGCCCGAGACCCCCCCAGCCGAGGAGCAGCTCCACCACCCGCACCACCCATGATCCGAAATGGTGCCAGGGATGCACCCCTTCCCCCGCCACCATACCGAATGCATGGGTCAGAACCTCTGAGTCGAGGAAAGCCTCCCCCTCCACCCTCAAGGACACCAGCTGGGCCTCCTCCTCCTCCACCTCCACCCCTGAGGAATGGCCATAGAGATTCTATTACTACGGTCCAATCTTTCTTGGATGATTTTGAGTCAAAGTATTCCTTCCATCCAGTAGAAGACTTTCCTGCTCCAGAAGAACATAAACATTTTCAGAAAATATGTCCTAGCAAAACAAACCGAGCTGCCCGTGGAGCACCACCATTACCACCCATTCTCAGGTGAAGCCTGGCTTGGTCTTGTTCTTCAGGAAAAGGATGGACCTTCTTTCTTCTCAGATGGTCCCTTCCATTCCCCTGAAACCTGCATGAGAGCTCCTGATGTGTTTCTCCAGTGCACCCAACCCCTAGACTCCAAGCGTCCTCCCAGCTCACCTCCATCTATGCATCTTGTCTCTGGACTTGGTGATCGGACTCTTTATCTTGGCAGTAGGGTCTCAAACCCTGCATTCAACCTTCTAGCAGCCCTGCTAGCCAGATGAGGAAGAAGCAAGCTTCCATGTTTCTTGCTTTCCTTTTGGGGAAAGGTGCCTTGTGATGAGTAAACTCACTGTAGGGGCTGGATGGAGAGTCATATTCCTACCTCCTCCTACCCACTGTAGGGGAAGCTTGGCAGGTATATTCTATTTCATCATTTAGGAGGCTGGCATCACCAGGACATCTGGGGTTAGGTGGGCATTTTCAGAAACATAAAAGGAGTTTGCAGACTAGTGATCTGTTTTAAAGGTCAGGTTTGGAAGGAAGGCAAGGATATGGGTCTGCTTTATCTTTAGTTCTGTTCTCTCACCTTCCCAGGGATAAGTTAGGTATCAGCACTAAATACTAATCAATCAAACTAAAGGTCACATAAAAAAAGAGGGTGAAATAAATTGGGAATCCTTTTACATCTAGTCAGTTTCTCTGCAGCAGAGGGACCAAGAGCCATTTGAATCCTCTGAGACTGTCTACCCTGTTTTGTCAGGGTGTTGAGGCTGAGGAATGTTTTTCCTTCCCTTAGTCCCCATCCCTTCAAGAAAAAAGTTGCTTTGGAGGGGGGCCTAAGGATCGGGGACCATGATTCATTCCTGATTCACAAACTTCAAACCTTTGGTGGGAGATAAGAAAATAGGGCCTAGACCTTGACCTTAACCTTGGCTCCACCTCAGCCTTTTCAATTTGTCATAAAGGCCAGTGGCCTTTTCTATCCTTTCCAGTCCCTGGTGGGTGCTCCAGCATGGCAAAGAAGTACCTCGAGGAAGGGGCTGGTTCTGTGGGGCTGCAAAAGACTTTAACTAAGACCTCCTGGTTCCAAATTGAGAGCCCATCTGACTAAGCTGGATCCTTGCATTCCTTTCTTTACCATTCTCCCCTTCCCAGGGGTCAACACAATAGTGTGAACAAAGGCAAGGTAGCTTCTGAGGATGGTCAGAGATCCTCCATGCCAAGATAGTAAAGACATTGGTAAGATGTGCCTCAGTTCAGTCTAATACATCTTCCTTGGCAACCAACAATACATGTTTCTTCATCTTCCAAACCCTAAAGAGCAGAGAAAAATAGGTTTCCAATCTAGGTAGGAATTGAACTTCATGATGAGACAGGGACTTCCCCTTCTCCAACAGCAGGAGTGGGCCTCCTGGGTTCAATAAACCAGACTCTTAGGTTTGCTACAGCTATTGCCAAGCTGAGAGGCTGCTCACAGCTTGGTGTATGAACATGGAGGCCATGAATGTTTCTTGACATGAATGAGGAAAGAAAAAAAAATTTACTGGCCACATCACAGGTTTGAATTTCTTAGAGACCTTCCGAAACTTTGCGATTTACAGGCAAAGAATTTGTGCGTGGTACCAGATGAAATCCAAGTGTTCTCAATGCTAGGTGAGGGAGAGAGCATAGGTTAGGTGATCTATAATGGGGCCTGCTCTCCTTTTTTATCCTTCGGACCATATTGATTCTTGGGACAAATCATTAGGTCAGTCACCAGACTCTAATAATTCTTACTTATCAGTCTCATATTCAAATCTGTTAGCTCTTAGAAGTGCTCCTAGTATCCTGAATTGACTGGAGCTGAAAGAAGGACACTAATAGAAGAAAAAGAAGAAAGTATAGGAGTTGATCCTGCAGCTGAGTTCCAGGGTAGATGCTGACAAGTTACTGAACTTTGACTGTGAAGTCTTCCCATTTATTTTTGAAATGGGAATTGATGCCTTTTGTACAATATTATTAAAGTGTATCTCTTTTCCCCCCACCCTCCCCCTGTACTCAAACTTAAGAGTATGGAAATAAATATCACAGATTTAAAAAAAGACATTTCTGTTTCTTTTGTTGTTCATAGTTTCAAAACATAAAAATGAAAAAGGAAGGGGAAAAAGGAAGCCCTAAACTCTGTCTTCAGTCTTCCATTAGGAGATCTGGGCACTAAAAGAAGAGTGGTGGTGGTTGTTGTTTCGTACTATCAAACAGAACCAACGTCTAGCAGACTATTCAGAGGTTTCAGAGGCAATTAAACACACAGGAGTGTATTGCCCATCTCTCTCAAGGAGCTTGTGGATTTGAACCACATGCCTATGGATAGGCAGCATAGCTCCTTACCCCTAGGCTATCCAGAGCTTCTTAAAGAAGACTAGTTACTTAAAAACCAATTATCTTTATAAAGAAGACTTTGGCTGTTTCCATGTTCTTGCAGTGGTGAATAATGTTGCTATAACCATTGATGTACTAATCTCCATTTGTGCCTCAGTTCTCATTTTCTTGGGGTATATGTCAAGCAGTAGAATAGCTGGGTCATATGGAATTTCACCATTTAGCTTTTTGAGGAAATGTCAAACTGCCTTCCAGAGCAGTTGTACCATTTGACATTCCCACCAACAGTGTCCAAGAATTCCTATCTCGCCACATCCTCTCCAACATTTATTACTTGCTGTCCTGTTAAACTTTTCCACTACTCCTGGGGTGAGATGGCATCTCACTGTGGTTTTGATTTACATCTCTCTTATTGCTAGTGATTTTGAACATTTCTTCTTTTGTCTATTGGCCATCCGAATATCTTCCTCTGTGAAAAGTCTTTCCACATCTTTTGCCCATTTTATAATTGTGTATAATCAGTCTTTTTCTTATGGAGACCCAACCACAATCGAATAGATTGAGAAATTATGGTATATCTACACAATGGAATACTACGCAGCACACAGGAGCAATGATTTTGAAAATCATTACTTCACTGGGGAGGGACTGGAGAGCATTATTGCTGAGTGAACTAACTCAGTCCCATAAGGATAAATACTGTAGAAAATCATTATTGTAGAAATAGAAAGATAACTACTAAAACGTGTTTGAGGTTCCAAGGAGGGGAAAGAGGGGAACAGAGGGGTGAGAATGGGAGTGGGGTAGGGGGTCGCACAGTTTGATGGGTGGAGGGAGGGTTGGGTGAAGGAAAGATCTGGTATGAAAAATCAATATAAGAACTTTGTAAGTAAATCAGTATAAAATAGAAATTTTGTTTTTAATAAAAAATTTAACAAAAAAACCCCTTGGGTTCAGATTCTCTTTCTGACATTGCTTATGCTCATACTTTTGTAGTTTCACATCTTCAGAAAACAAAATAAAATCCATTACTATTAAATCTATTTTAACTCACACCAACCCTATGTTATTTGATTGCTATTGTTATGTGCCCTCCAGTCAGAACTGACTTATTCCTGACCTTCCCTCAGGTTTTGAGAGTAAATCACACAGAGGGAGATTGTCACAGGAAGAGCAGCTTGTAGTTTCCAACCTCCTACCTTTGGGTTGACAGTGCAAATTGCCTCACGGGTTTGCTAAATCTGTCAATATTTATGGAATCGGACTGCCACATGTTTCACCTGGTGAATTCAAACCGATGACCTTTCAATTAAGAGCTGACTGCTAAGCAAAAGAAAATTCACGGTTTTAGAGTTGAATCTGGCTTTTGGCTACTTTCTTGCAGAGTAAAGGGTGCACTGGAACAGTTAACCTTTTGGCTCGCAGCCCAACAAAGATACTAACTGCTTTATCATGACTATTTATCCGCAAAACAGTACTCATTCTCTTCATCTTATCATGCTATTTTGAAAACTACCCAAAAAACCCAAAACCCCAAGCAAAACACTGTGCCATATAACTAATACTTCTTTTTTTCTTTCAGGTAATGCCATATTTGGATAATGTGTATCTCCAAAGATCCACAGAAATACATGTTCATTGATCCTTCTTCAGTGTCTAAGTTATTTATAATGTATTTATTATAAAAGATACAAAGCAAAATTATTCCCAGAATCACACATCATTAATTGTTCAACTTTCAGATCCATAGCAAGTAAATGAAAATACCATGGGTCAGGAACACCTTAGTCTTTAAATTGATATCATTACTCTTTAGTACTCTGGAGAAGTCCCTGACAGTAGATTTTCCCAGTGCAACTCATCTTTTAATATCTTGACTGCTGGTACCAAGGTGTTGATTGTGGATATAAGTAAGATGAAATTGTTGACAACTTCAGTCTTTTCTTCATCTATCACGATTTTGTCTATTGGCCCAGTGGTGAGGATTTTTATTTCCTTGAATGCTTCTTGTAGTTGTTTTTAGGTGCTATCAAGCATAGTATGACACATAGTGACACTAGAAACAAGAGACCTGAATCCTGTCCTATAATGTGCCATCTTCACCATCTCAGATAGAGTAGAGCCCGTTGCTGCAATCACCATGTCAATCCATCTTATTATGGCTTTTCTTCTCTGTTGCTGACTCTACACTTTTCAAAAAAAAGTTATCTCTTTCCAAGAATAGCCTCTTCTAGCGACATATCTTAAATATGAAAGATAAAGCTCTACCGTCCCTGCATTCAATCAGCACTGGGAGGGAGGGAACCTTTTCTAAGATATATCTCTTCATTCTTTGGCAGTCCGTGGTAAACTCACAACACAGCACAACTCAAAACCATCTTTATACATTGTCCAGCTCTCAGATGCATAGCAAATGACTGAAAAGACTATGGCCTGAGTAAGTGCACCTTGTTGTTGTTGTGTTGTTATGTGCCGTTGAGTCACCTGTGGTTCTTAGCAACCCTATGTACAACAGCCCTAAATCCTGCTCTATCCTGTGCCAATCTCACTGTCTCTGACACACCTACCCCCATTACCCTAGTTACTAAATCAATCCATCTCAGTGAGGGTCTTCCTCTCCTGCGTTGTTCCTTTACCCTCCCAAACATGTTGTCCCTCCCCAAAGACGGTCCCTCTTCGTAACATGTGCAAAGTATGTCAGACGAAGCTTCAGAATCCTTGCCTCCAAGGAGCAGCCTGGCTTCACCCACTCCAGAACAAACCCATGTGTTCTCCCAGCTGTCCATGGTATATTCAACACTCTTCTCCAGCACCACAGCTCAAAGACATCAATTCTCTTTCTATCATCCCTAGTCACTGCCCAACTCTCCAGTGCAAATATATTGGAGAGAGTATGGAGAGATTGTAACTCATGCACTACTGGTGGAATTGTAAAATGATACAACCACTCTGGAAGGCAGTTTGGTGTTTCCTAAAAAAGCTGAGCATAGAAATTTCATATGACTCAGCTTTTCCACTGCTAGGAATTTACCCCAAGGATACTAGAACTGAGACACAAACAAAAATATCTATACCTGTGTCCATAGCACCATTATTGACAACAGTAAGAAAGTGGAAACAATCTCACACCAGTAACGGCAAAATTTAACAGGGCAGAAAGTAATAAATGTTGGAGAGGATGTGGTGAGAAAGGAGCTCTTAGGTTTGTTTTTTTTAAAAAAAGAAAAACCAAACTATTTTCTTCTGATTTATTTACAAAGTTTGAGTACATTGTTTTTCACAAAATATCCTTCCCATTTCCTTCACCCTACCCACTCACTGAATTGGGCAACCCTATGATTAAGACTCTAACCCCCGCCCCCCATTCTCACTCCTCTATTTCCACCCTCCCCACCTACTTGGATCATAACACTCATTCTACAATAATGTTTTTATACAGTATTTGTGCTTATGAGACTTAGTTAATTCACTCAGCATAATGCTCTCCAATCCCTTCCAAGTTAGGCAGTAATTTACAAAATGATTGCTCCTGTGTGCTGCGTAGTATTCCATTGTACGAATTTACCACAACTTCTCAATCCATTACTTTATGGTTGGACATTGAGCTGTTTCCATGTTCTTGTGATGGTGAATAATGCTGCTACGAACAATGGTGTACAAGTTTCTGTTTGAGCTTCAGTTCTCATTTTCTGGGGTTATATTCCAAGCAATGGAATAGCTGGGTCACATGGAATTTCTATGTTTAGCTTTTTAAGGAAACTACCTTCCAGAGTGGTTGTACCATTGTATGATTCCACCAACAATATAAAAGAGTTCCTATCTCACCACATCCTCTCCAACATTTATTACTTGCTGGCCTGTGAGACTTTGTCATTGCTACTGGAGTGAGATGGTATCTCATTGTGGTTTTGATTTGTATCTCTCTTACTGACAGTGATTTGGAGCATTTCTTCATGTCTGCTGGACCTTCGAATATCATCCTCTGAAAATTCTTTCAACATCTTTTGCCCATTTTGTAATTGAGTTATCAGTCTTTTTCTTGTGGAGGCCCAGGAGTATTCTATGTTGTTGTTGTTATGTGCCGTCGAGTCGCCTGCAACTCATAGTGACCCTACGACTCATAGCGACCTATAAACTTTCATTATGAGACTCTTTTTCATCCTGTTGGAAAAAATTTTTGATGAACACAGGGATTTAATTTTTAGAAGATCCCATCAATTTTATCCTCTTCAGATTGTACACTTCTGGCTGGTTTTTGCAGCCTTTTAAACCATGCACTATACCTTCTAAGCTTGATCCCAGTTTGTCTCTTATGAACTTTATGGTTTGGGGTTTTACTCCCAGGTCTCTGATCCACCTTGAGTTAATTTTTGTGTATGGTGTTGTAACGGAGCGAGTCCCCAAAAAGATCACTGAGCCAATTAGCCAAATTAACAAAGTTTATTTCGAGTTTGAACCCGGGCCCCCACGTGCTGACACAGCAGCATCCAGCCGAGAGCTCCGAATTGATGTCTGCCCCTCCTTTTATACCTCTGCTACTCCCCTGCCCAACCATACATGCCATGCATGATTGGCCATCCACAGTAGTTGGGGTATTTGTCCACCTTCAATTGGCTAGCCGTAGCTCAGGGAAATAGTTTGGAAACCTACTTGAATATTATCGGTTACTTCAGATGCAGGAATGCAGAAAAATCCCTTGTGCCCTTACAAAGAAGAAGAATTCCACTTTATGGCAGTTGATCAATCAGGGTGGGATTTACCACAGGTGGGGGTTGTTTGTTTGTTTGTTTGTTTGTTAAAAAACCACTCAGGCGGGTGGGGTGGAGTTAACTGTACTTGGTCAGAAACTGAGTTTCTGATAACTGGTCCTTTCAGGTGTGAGATGTGGATCCTGTTTCAGCTTTCTTCAGATAGCTGTCCAGTTTTGCCAGCACCATTTGTTGAAGAGGTTGATTTCCCCATTTGATAGGTTTTATAGCCGTGTTGATTATCAGTTGACCACAAATAGCTGGGTCTACTTCTGCATTCTCAATTCTGTTCCACTGATCTACATGCCTGTCATTGTACCAGTACCATGCTATTTTGGTTACAACCACTGTGTTTTGAGGCCACAAAGTGCTATACCTCCCACTTCATTTTTGTTTCTCAGAAGTGTTTTGTTTATTTGGGGTCTCTTGCCTCTCCAAATAAACTTGACAATTTTGCCCTTTCAGTCTCCTTGAAAAATGAATTTGGTATCTATTATTGGGATTGCATCGAATACATAGATTGCTTTTGGTAGGAGTGTCATTTTCTCAATATTGTCTTCCTATCCATGAACTATTGGGAAATGTTACAGACGGGGAGGCCTCAGGCCAGGGCATATCGCCTAGTTCCAGATAAGTGCAAGCCCAAGACGGCTGCCACATCTGTTGAGCTGGGAGTGGTCTGCACTGAGCTGAGGTTCTTCTGTCCAACCCACATGTTCCCCATCTACAAGCCCACCCCATCCTATCTTCCTGTTTACTCGCCTGTATATAAGTGCATTTCAACTCCCAATAAAGTTGAGTTTGGCGTGGTGTGTCTCCATCACACTTACCGCTGTCACAGTGTTGCTGCTCCCTGCCATATTTATGAAAATAGGACAACTGAGCACAATGTGTATAATGTCAAAAGAGAAAGGAGAAGAAGAGTAAAAAGAGGAAGGGTAAAAATCACCAGGAAAGCAGAGGTCAGTGGATGGATAGGGTGGTGAAGGTATAGGAAAGAATGAATGGAGACCTGAAAAAATGGAGCCGTAATAGACATAGACCAACAGTAATTAATTATATATAATATGTATGAATGGTTATAGGAAACAATGTAAATGAAAAAATGTATAAAACATAATGTACATTAATGAAACATCGTTGTTGTTGTTTATTGCCATTGAGTTGAGCACAACTCATAGTGACCCTATGAACTAAAGTCCTGGAGCCTTTCTATAACTATGATCATTTCTCCAAGTTCACAGAGTTTCCAGAGGCATGTGGTTTAGGAAGTGGATGCCACTCCTGCTTTTGAAAGACCCCAAACTAGGGCTTTACCCAGACTGGGTACGACACCGAGCAACTCACACCAAATCCACTTGCTGTAATCACAAGAGACTTTATTGACGAAGTTTCGGGATGACTTATATCTCACACAAGAGACAGGGAAGTCGACCTCGAGCCCCAAAAAGCAAGGGAATTTATACTGGGTCTAGGGGTTCTTTGGCATAGAGATAGCTCATTGGCTCTTTGGAAAAGGAGAAGTTCAATTTTAGGTCAGTTGCCTGCTGCTGACGTTAGTTAAAATATGGTTTTTGCCAAGAATGGTTTTTTTCAGTTTGTGGTCATCTATTTCCTGGAACACAAACATTCACACGAGATCAAAGGTATAGGTTCTTACAATACAGATCAAAGGTATAGGTTTTTACAATACAGATCAAAGGTATGGGTTCTTACAATACTTGGGTTTGGGGACATTATTTTTTTTAAAATTTTCCTTTCACTTTCACACCTGTCTTAAACTGGGAGCCCCATCAAACACTGTCCACCATGAGCAACCATTATGGGATTTGAGACGCCAATGGCAGAAGGTTC